ATTTTTAGCTAACGTAGCTCAGTAACGCGTACCTTTTATTTGAAAGTAACGAGTAACGTATTTTGTTACTTTTTTTCGGTAACGCCTACAACACCGTCGTTCTGTCGCCGATCCCTTCTATTGGGTAGCACGGGCGCAGCGAGCCTCCGACGAGCGCTTGGCCGGTGCTTTGTGCACGAACACCATGGGAACAAAATCCGGGTGGTCTCGATCAGACAACGGTTTCCCTGCACATAAGCAAGCCTCGGTACGGAGATTGAAATGGAAGCCGCACTTTCCTTCAAGAAAGTGTTTGCCGCACAAACGGTCGTTCGCGCGACGCGACCATTCTTTTCGATCCACGGATATTATCCACCTTCTATGCCTTTCAGAGTCTGACGGGAACTTGTGGAAACTCACTCCGCTGCTTTTCTTGTACATTTCGATGCAATTAATGGCAACACAGCTTCGCGGCAAGCTGAAATGCTATGACGCCCATGCGAAACGTGCGCGCTTTTGCCCACACCCCCCGGCTCCGGCGCGATCGCAGCGCCGCCGCAGCTCCGTGACGTCAAGCCCGCGTGTCAGTCTATACCAGAAAAAACCTGATTGCGATTTAAGACTTTATTAATACTTTTTTCCAAACAACATCTGGGCGGTGCTTCGGGACATCTTTGAATATTTGCTTCTAGTAGACGATTTTGCTTTTCTGAGCTCAGACGTTAATTCATTCCTAAGTTTTTTTAAACGCGATAACTTACTTTGGTTTCTTGATATTGTATGCATTGTTTCGAAAAAGTATCAAACGAAATCAGCACGCAACACCACGCAGACACTGGCTTGCAGTGGCGTACAAACCGCCGGCGTAGCATAGCGTGCAGCCGTGAAATGTCTGCGACTGATAATAATGATAGCTTGTTTGCCAAAACACTAGCCTCGGCGCGGACCTTCCCTCCGTCAGGGCTGGATTCGGCGCTGTAGGCGTTCTGTCTAATGCAAATGAGCGGGGTGGAATGTATTCCCCCTAGTAAAAGTATTTGGCCAGACGCAAACGGTGAAAAGGGTGGGAGGCCGGAGAGATGCACAGGAGAGGAGGTTCAGATAGCGGTCGCGCGCTTCTTTTTGTCCTTTTATCTTGCTCTAAGGTATTTACATGTCTGTCTGACTGAGGGTGAAGACATCCATTGTCGCCCTGAATGTGCCAGCGCATGACGCTCTCGCGCACTCGGTGCGTGACTTGGGCGGAAAAATGGCGTCTATGCATTACACAAAGCTACGCGCCCGAGCTGAGTGACACCAGATTGCGCGCGCTTCAAAATGCATTAAAAAACGATTGCGCGGAAAAATTGCTGAGATGTCACCACTCAAGCAATTAAGTTACTCAAGAATTAAGTTACGCACGTCGCCTATGTTCATGGCAATGTGGCTCCAATGCTTATACCACACCGAAGGGCACCGCACGATATATATTGAAATACAGTTAGGGCGCAGGTGAGCTGGTGTAGGTTTACTAATTTTTTAGACCACCTGAGACTGGGTGGAAGAAACACGACGACGTCGTAGTGTTTCTTCCACTCAGTCTCAGGTGATCTAAAAAAATGATATATATTGGTTCACTCCACTTTCATGCACGGTTGACGCATGGCGAATGCATGAAGTTACCTAAGTTGACACAATCACACTGGTGAAAACCTGCCAAGTTTGCTCTTAGGTTGCACAAGGTTGATACGCCACGTGTCGTGAGAACCGGGAACTAAAACAGCGTGTCCCAAAAAGCTGGCCACGTGGGCGTCTGATGTCTCATCTGTATACAGTCTTGTACATTTACTCCAAAAAGGTTATCGATAACGATTAAGAGTACTCTTGCTTAAAAAGCATTCAATGAGATTTGCTTGATTACTTGACTTGAGGAAAAAAGTAATTGGCCGTAACGTTTCTGATTACTTCCAATTTTCAAAACCTCGTATGTCCTGTCCATTGTTAGATAAGAATCACTGAACAATAAACTACTTATCATCTTAATCCACCACATTAAGTAAACCATTCCCCATCGGAGTCTTGTTTCAAGGATTTTTCTGTCCTACACTTGTACAAACAACGTACTCTATTAAAAAAGGAGGCAGAAAAAAAGCAACGGTTAGGAGTAATTTTAGTAATTTTAGTGCGTACCGTATGTCTGGCTGTATATAGATGAACAGTTTAGCGAGTACAGTACAACCCCTAGACTGGGGCCTTTAACATGCCCCCCGCAGTGGTGATACACGACCGCACGCCGATAGGATGCTCACCGAGATCGAAACCAGGCAGGGTGGGGATTCAACACTGCATGTTCCCTGTGATCTGCATCGCGAGCTTTCGCTCCACGCGCTCCAAGATGCCGTGGGCACGCCCCCCCCCCCCTTCCCCCTATTTCTATCGCGTCAATTTGCAATGTAGAACTTAACTATATTCGGATCCTCTCGAGTCTATAACTGCGCTGCGTTCTTTGGCACCAAAGCTCCTGTAATCATAAGAGTGACACGGGCCTCTTCTCCTCACGCCACTTCCTCCTCCCTATGGATGATACCCTTCTCCCCTTCTTTTGCCTCCCGGAAGACATCTTTGTTGTTGTTTTTTTTAAACGTGCATTGTTCAAAAATGAAAAATTAATTGTTTTTTTTTTTTTAATTTTACGCATTGATGCATTATTCTAACCTCACTCATGTTTTGCGTGTAATCGAAACTACGAAGAACAACAAAGTAAATATTTTCGACCGACCTCCCATCTCACCTATTCCCTGCCAATTCTGAGCATCTTGCCATATTTTCAATGTTACTGTTTTGTTTCGCAGAAAACCAAAACTTAATTCGTATAAAAAATGTTGCTTCTATTGTTACGATTAATTACAAATGCTACTAACAAAAATAAATTTAATTTTTAGGTGTAGCAATATGTTTGTATTCGCTGTATTTTTATTTATCTATAAAACCGCCATATATGTAGAATTACATACTATAAACAACGCTGCATGATTTTTCTAATAAAACTCCGCCACGTCTTCTTGAAGAGTCGCCTCGTCATATTTTTTGACACAACAAAGAGAATGCAACGACTCACAGTCTGAGGCAATGCAAAGCGCACAAATACGCGCAGTTGGTGTGGCGGCGTGGGTATTCTGCAGGCGGCTAACTCCAGTACATTTTCACCGTATTACGGCTAGCTTGATTACCATCATCAAGAAATTTGAATAAGCTTTCTTTAGAATGAAATTCTGAAATATGCATTAATAATTGCCGAATATCCTGGTTTTAGAACGTTTTTAATGTCAACTCCACGGAAACACTTCAAATTCATGACGGAAGCTATTTCGGTCATTCAGAGGCACTCGTAGTTTTATTTACGGTGTTAATTTGGTAGTCTCCATTCTAATATATATATGTCAGACAGCTCGCGATTTTTACTTTTTCAGGCCTAATTTCCGCCAAATTCAAGATGTCGCCGAAGTTGAAAGAATTTGAAACGTTTTTACACCGTGGGCGAAATAGATCGACCGCACTTTAAACTGACCGCATGAATTGGTTTTTTAACTTCTCGCGCTGGGATTTACTACAGATGTACCGGACGTTGGTAGAAGCTTTCGCTAAAATTGTGGAAAGATTGGCTCATCCGAGTAAATCAAGAAAAATCAAAATCAATGTTATTTTTTTTTTCATGTACACTAAACAAATACTGTGTGTTACTTTGGAGCTTATTTGGGCCCAATGAAGCCAAAAAAAGCTAAGCCAATTCAATTTGTTTTTCATCTTACGAAGTTTTCAATCGTTGCAAACGCCAGAATGGCCCACAAAGATTTTCTGACGATTTTGAGATAAAGTTCAGGGATAAATTTTCCATAAACAAGACCAGTTTTATTTTTTTTTTTATTTTGACCCCGGAGGTTTCATGTATTCTTACTCTCAATTAATGAATGCACCACCTTCGAGCACCTGTGTTTTAAATCCCAGCGCGATAAGTTAAGAAACCGATTTATACAGTAAGTTTAAAGTGCGTTCAATTAATTTCGCCCACGGTGTAAAAACGTTTCAAATTTAAAATACATTGCTGAACGTACTTTTACGTCAACAATTGGGAACGAGACCCAAACGTCGCGCCCTTGGGGGCTAGCGGCTATTTTGAGAACGACACCGAAGGGAACAACAACATAAATTATTTGTCGTTGTTCTTTCACTCAGCTTTCGGCCCACGTATACCCGAACGTTGCGTCAGGGTTCAGGTGGGGCTGGTGTTCAGTCTGTGAAGCCGAACATGGACATGCAGAACTTATGGATTTTTTTACTTCACCTTTCTTGACTGAGCGCGGAAAAAAAAATTGGACACGGGTCGTGTCCAATGTTTGCCCTGCCTTCAATCGACAAAGGTGAAGTAAAGAATCCAGTGCACCTGCCTTGTGTTGATGATCACAGAACTCTGGAAAAAACAAGCTGGACATAGCGCCCATGTAGTTCGATCACCCGGTGAACAACTATACACTTTTAGACCAGGTTCGGGAAGGTCGATTTAAGGCCTTAATCGTTTGGTTGTGAATAACTCGGAAAAAACCCAGTATGCAGATGTCTAAAGTATATACACACTAAAAAAAGGCTCTGAGTTTAACTTTTTTTCATAATACGGAGACCGACAATCCGACGAACAGAACTATCACCGCGAGTGTTAAATCTCAGGACACGACTACATCTGAAAAATGCGGTTTCCGTAGAGCTAACGAGCAAGTGTGACGTCATGCTCATTGCCTCTCCGTGCATTGCAGTTTTTTTTAATCTATAAATATATTTTAATTGATTCATTGGCAGGCATTCTTATACTGTTCGTCATGATTGATTGCATTCGTCTTCTGCGGTAAAGTGAACTCACATACTTTTTTTTTCTTTTAAGTGTATGACAAAACTAATCTTTGCGCTTGTTCCTTGATCGCGCTTGAAAGATTCACCGTCAGAAATATTAACTTGCTCTTGCACCATTTTAACAAAACTTTCCGCCACAGCTCAAAGCCAAGCTGAACGAAACGGTAAAGAAACTTGGATGCACCGAAAAGCTGTGTGCCGTGCGAAAGGTGTGTGGCCAAGCTGACGTGGTAAGTGGCCTTTCGAGTTCACAATATCAGGTTCAAGTCACTGACAACTGATAAAACCAAAACACAGGGCGCAGCGAGTTCTGAACGTTCACTCAGAGTCAATCAGGCGTGGCACTAGCCGATAAGAACGGCGATGAACCAATCACGGAGCGGGAATTAAACGACGTAATATGCCACACCCTGCGATCCGTTAGCTGTCAGTGACTAGAGTGGGAGTGGGACTGTGTCCTTAGATTTTACGATGCTTCCACCAAGTGTGCACTGATATCAGCTGATTTGTATGAGCTCATATTCCTGATCATATTAGTAAAAATAAAAACAAAACATTGACACGTCTTTCTTTTTTTTTTTTTGTTATTTCACAGGAAGAAACCCTCCAGCAGCATTTCCCAGTAAGCATGCATTGGTCTGAGTAGTATTGTGTTGCAACGAGTTGGTCTGAGCAGAATTGTATTCCAATGAACAACGGCGGGCATTAACAGCAGGTCGAAGAACTGTCATCTCTAAGTCAATATATCGCGACCAATCTAAGTGCGCAAAAGAATTTTAAGAATGCTCTGTTTCACTTGGGAACCTAAGTTGCAGTGGGCGTCAACTGTTCGCAAACATTTACAGATGGCGTGCATAATAAAAAGTAAAATGCAATAATTTAATTTTGCGTTTTTGTATTTTCTTTATTTATTTACGTATTTTAATTTGTTTTCATGTCCTGTGCGTGTGTTGTACACTGTTTAAAACTATACTGGAAGGCACATTCTTCAAATTTTTCAGAGTGTATCGAATGTTTTGTTGCAGGCCGCTGAGGTGGGTATGCTCAAACGAATGGCGTCCAGGTGCGAACGCCTTGGCAATCTTGTCTATCCTGGTGGTGATCCTTAAAAATGAGACCGCCTTCGGGATTCCCATCAAGACTTATTGCGGAGCACTCGCTACTTCTGGACTGCAGCGCCGATCTTGTACGACAGCGAGCGACTCAAGAAACTTGGGCCATTATCAGACCTGAACGTCCGATAGCTAGACGCCTGTATTCATTACAAGAGCAACCAATTGCGAAACCAAGTAGAAGAGCAAAAGTTGACCACGCCTTCGATTTCTGAAGTTGTCGCTGCTCTTTGGAAATAATATTAATAAAAACGTAGTGCGTTCTCTTAAGCAAGGTTTATTACGGATCATTTTAGTGCAGGCTGTTACATGCAAAAGCACGTGACAAGAGATGCACACGTGCTCAAGTGAAGTGTCATTGGTTACGAGATTACTATTCTGTGTGACACAACGCCATGCATATAGCAACACTTTACGCATATTAGAACTCCACAGGTAACACGAAATTCTTAATTAACTTTCAAAATTGCACATAAAACAATAATAATATATGTTAGAAGTGTCGAATGCTCCTCAACTCATCGAAATTCAAATCCCTCTTTTTTTTTTATCAAACTCGACAAAATCTTTACCCTTTCCACTTCAATCGCGACTTTAACAATACTTCTGCCTCTCACTACAAATATCTTGGCATACAGCCCCTCACTACATTTCTTGGAAAGCTAAACATAATAGCATAGTGACCAATTCACGTGGCACCGTTTATTTCTTACGTTGTAAAAATTGTCTCGCTGGTTAGCTGTCGCCATGACATAGTAGGCCCTAAATTGTGGCATCCATGATCCGTCTGAGACACAGGAGCAGCGCAACAATATTGGGTTGGAATATTTCTCACTTTATACGCGTGGTTACTGACACTACGCGAGGCGACAAGTTTACTCGCACGCAACCTGACTTAGAAGCTTCTTTGTCGCGGCGCAATAGCTCCTTTTCAAGACCCCATTAAGCAACATGGGCGGGCGCCATTTCATGAGCACGAAGCACGCGATCGAATCCGGGTCCTCGGCGAGCTCTGACGCGGCAGTGATGCACAATCCATGCTCGGAGTACGTGCCCAAACAACAGCCCCCTTAGATAATCGGCACAGCAGCTAGTAGATGGCGCGCTGTTTTCAAATGTGGTCAAGAATAAATTTTTCTTCCAGTCTCTTCAATGCAAAACGAGATTATGTTGAGTTATGGAGATTGCGGTGTTGACATAGTCACGAGGATTAGTGCGTGGCGACGGTAGCCGAATATGTCTCTCTGATTGGCCAAGAATACTCTGTGGGTGCTCGATTCGGGTTGGTAGCAAGCAATTTCTCGGCGAGTATTTGGGTAGTGGCTCGTGTCTAATCGCTGCAACGACGGAAATAGCCGCGCCCTAATGATGTCTACTACTCAACACGTGTAATTGTGATGTACGTCTGTTTAGACAGCCGGAAGTTAGCCAACATCAGTGGGCGACTTGTCTCTCATCTGTGGACGAAGAAATGCAACCGCTAGCCTGGGGCCTCTAACGGGCACCACGCAACAGTGCACATGCACATAGCCTGGGTTTTGCCAGCGCCGGTGCTTGAAGTTGACTGAGACGAGCACTGGCAGCATACTATTAATATTCGATAGCGCGGACGCTTTTTTGGTTGCGAGTTGAGGTGGTGAACGTTGCTCGTGTTTATAATTGCTTCTGCAACCTTTATTGCTAAAAAAAAAAAATTCGCGTGCTTCGTAGGTTAGGAACGTCAAGCATTAATTCTAAACAACATTTACAAGAAGTAGTAAAATTGGTGCACTGCCTTTTTAAAAGGAGTTACATCTTTTTTTTTTTTAATTTCCATGGTGACAAGCGTGAGGTCAAACAAAAAAAAAAAAAGATGCTGTACCTCCCTTTTAAAAAGGCAGTGCAACAATTTTACTACTTCTTGTAAATGTCGCTTAGAATTAATGCTTGACGTTCATAACCTACGAAGCATGCGGCTTTTTTTTTTTTTTGTGGTCATGGGATGTTAGAATTGTACTGCGATACATTCGGCGTGCTGAGTCGCACAAGTATTTTCAGGAAGGGAAAGTTGCTCCTAATTTTCTGATTTGCTTTATATATATATACCTGCGGTAAACATTAGTGCGCATTTATGCACTTGACGATCCAAAAGCACATTCGACCACGCTCATTTAAAAGCATGAGCTCAGTTTTGGTGCGGGGCGGGCAGCGTGGCTGTTGTAGTTGAATCGGTCTACTGATGTCTTCGCTCTTGGACAAGGAATTGGAAGTCATATGCTATCTGAAAGTGAATTAAGGGGTTAAAGCCGCTGCGTCCCACGATCGGGGGACGGCGCGGCCACTTTGTAGGTTGCATGAGGTACACGCACCATATGCGGCCGCTTGCACAATGGTGTTCTAGAGTTGCTGTGCATTATACAAGGGGAAGTGTTCTCAAATCATGTCCAGAAATTTGTGACAGGCTCTTCTAATTCACTTATCTGACCCCACGTGACGCATCCACCTTTAACTTTTATGCAGTGTGCAAATTACCGCAAAAGCGGAATGTATGCAGACTAAAAAAAGATAAATAAACATGTAACTTTAAAGATAAAAAAAGATGAGATGATAAGTGTCTGGCGGCTGCAACATATTGATAACTTTATCATTCTCTCTCACCTATTCACGGCGAGAGTGCGATCAAAAAAAGAACATCTGAGCTTTTAAACAATTTCGCAAAAAAAACTCAGCGCGCATTTTCGTAGTTCTTATCGTTGACTTCGAGTGCGATAGGCATAGGTACCTTCATATATAACTGTGTTTTCAGTGAGTACAGTGAGTTTTCAGCCAGTACAGTGAGCTGAAATGGTCTACTGCGCATGCCTACTGCGCATTAGGAGGCCAGAGTATACATAGTTGAATACCTTTAGTAACTTAGTAATGCTACTGCATTAAAATAATGCGTCTTTCAAAGTTGACATCCGTTTTAGGTAATTTAAAGACATAGCAAGTTGTGACGTCCCCAACACTTGTATTATGGTGGTAAATGCTTGGAAATATATATCCTCATATAAGTGACCATTCATTTTTACTCTGAAGCCGTCATGGTCACAAGCACATCACGTAGTTTATGCTCGTCAGTGAGATCTTCGTGCGATGAGCGCATAGCAGAGGTTGTGACTAAGAATATTATGTTGTGCTAATGTCACGCGTTATCTCAACCTGGATCACACGACTGAGGCTTCTGAAAATTTTACGAGCCAGTATTCTAGATGTACTTCGAGGAACTAAATGAGAGCGCTAATTATGTTGTTTCATGACTTTATTTTCATTCGCACGAATGCCAGTTATGAGTGTAATAATTCATGACAACAAACGCTAATTATATTAGACCTTAATCACACAAGACGTCTTTCCTAATTCGAAAAATGGCGTAATTTAATCGGACATCGCGGCTGAGTTCGATGGAATTGTTTACAGACACTTTCTCAGCAAATATATCGGTCAAAATTTGAAGTAATTACTTTTTAACCACATATTTTTCTTCTCGCAAGCAATAATTACTGCAATATATTGCTTTTGGCTTCAGAAAGTTTCAACCGAAATACGGAGAACTAAAATTTATGCAACCTCTATACAATCCCTAGGCATAATTTGATTAATTGAACATGTTACAGCGACGACGTTTCTGACTAAATTGAGCCTTTTTAGTGATCTCTCAAAAGTATTTATCTAAATTCATAATTTGAGCAATTTCATAAAATAATCAGTTAACTTTCTTGTTATTGGTATTTTTCTCCATTTTTTATTTACTTGAGTTTATCCTGAATGCATTAAAATAACCTTTGTTTTTGCGTCTTGATATAAATAAACATCTATTATCCCCCCCCCTCTCCCCTTTTATTTAGTGCCCTAACCAAGCCCTCAAAGGACCCCTGAAAAGAAACAAAATATTATTTTTGTTTAACAGTATGGTTGGGAAACGCGTGTCAAAAAATTAATTTTACGCGAAAAAAAACAAAAAAACTTTTTTGCAACACCATTGAAGGCGCCAGACGCGATTTAGTCAATAGTCACCTCCTTTCCACTTGTTTTCCCTCTCGGCATTTTGTTAAAAACAAATTAAATTAATAAACAAAATCTTTTAAGATCAGAGGCCTTATTTGGAGCAGACTACGTTTATGTCGTGGAAGCACTTTACAGAGGAACGACGACCAACTTCAAGGAAACTTCGCAAGTAACGAGGCAGAAAAGACGCACGGTCTGCCTTGCAAAGAAAACAAAAATAAAACAAAAATTGCCTACAACGACGTACGAAGAATCCTTTTAAAGGGGCGGTGCAATGATTTTAACAATGAAAGAATGTGCAGCTTGTATTTTTTATATTGTTTACTTCAGCATAAGTGAGAGCAAAAGTGCCACCACACCCCAAAATACCTCTATTTCGCTGCGTAATCGCAAAATAAAAAACGCTTTTTTTCCTAACCTGCGGCCACATGGTGGCCGCAAAGGGAACCTGTGGTGTGACGTCATTTAAAGTGGTTTTTGTAAGTGATAGTGTTAGGCAGTTGTAAGCTTGATTTAAGGTTAACTTTTAAAATCT